TTCAAATCTTGTATCATTGTCTAATGAAATGATCATGATTTTCCATATTTAGTTTTTTAACGTGGCAAATGCATTGTTTCTAGTGTTAAACTAACCTTGCACTGCTGAGATAAAACAGCTTCTTGTGAGATACTATTACATATATTTTATTCTTCTGCTGTTTTCCTCTAGAATTCTCTAAATCTTTCCCATTCCTTCAAAGCCCTGCTGGGATACCACCTTCCTCTGAAAGCTTTCCAAGATGCCCCCAGCTAGGAGTGAACTCTCGCTCTTCTCACAAAACCCATCGAACTTTGCCTCCCATTGTAGCTACATTGTCACATTCTATCTGTCCCCTTGTCTTCTCTTCTGGACTATAAACTCCTCCAGGGCATCTTTATGCTGTCTTCTCAGTCCACTCCTTCCTCCCTGGACCCAGAGCAGAGTGGTACAGCGTGAGGTCATGGGCTCTAGGGTAAAGTTGCCTGGATTCACATCTCAGCTCCGGCACTTGCTAGCTGTGGATTTAGGCCATGCCACTTGGCCTCTCTGACTCTATCAGTAAAATAGGAAGAATAATGGCACCTGCCTCATAGAGTTGTGAAAACGAAATGAGGTAATGTAAACGAGTCACTTAGTACAGCTCTGAGCACCTATTATTTTTGTTAGCTTAGTCCATAGCCATCGCCACTCTATGCTTCGGCTATTCGGAACTGCTCACAAGTTATTTCTAAAAGCTTCTGAGAGCCATCCTCTCTTCTTCCTTTATTTCCTCTAAAGCTGTTCACATGCTGCTTCATTCTTTTATTCAGTGGGCATTTATTGAGCACTTACTAAGTGCTAGGATCTGAAGAAGATGAGATCCCTCCTCAGGAAGCAGACAATCAAGTAGGGGAGAGACATATAAACAAACAATGATAATACAGTATGATAAGTATTAAAATAGAGGGCCAGGGAGGTAGAAGACTGGGGCTAGGGATCATGGGGAGCATCTAACTTATGAGAATAGAGTCCACTAACTCTGGCCTGGGACCAGAGAAGACTTCTCAGAGGAGATGATGCCTAAGCCGGTCCTGCAGGACAAGCGATGGGTGAATGGGGTTAGGACAGAACATGTGGGTAAAAGTTGTTTCAGGCAGAAGGAGAAGAAGGTGCAAAAGAATATAAAATGAGAGGAGAAAGAATATAACATGCTTGAGAAATTGGTAGTATTTAATTCCCAAACAGAATAGGTGGTAGGAGTGGAGAAATGATGTGAAGAGGTAAGTAGGAGTATGAGGTAGAGCTTGCCACGCTATACTGAGGAACTAAGACTTTATCTTGAAGTGATTCTCGCCCCCTTTTGGGGCCCACCTAAAACTATTAGAGTAGTCATCACCTACTCCAAGAAGCCTTCCCTGATTTCATGCTCGTAAGTTAAGTTTGGATTGGATATTCCCTCTGTTCTATTATAGCTCTCTCTTTCCACTCATCACAGCCCTTACTTCTTGTCATGATAATTTTCCGTTTAAACATCTGTTCTCCACATCGAAAGCTGTAAGAAGAGAATGTGTTTTTACCACATTTCTATTATTACCAGCCTAGAAGAGTACCTAGCATATAGTAAGTACTCAGTAGATGTTTATTGAATGACTAAACAAATAAATAGGATGTCCAGAGAAGGAGAGAAAACTGTGATTAGCAAAATGCCTGGCACATAATTAGCCCTTAGAAAATTACTTAATCTTTTTTTCTGCCTCAGCTTTCTCATCTGGAAAATTGGGATAAAATAGAAACTATCTCAAAGGGGTATCCTGGGTCCATGAATTGTTTAACCCATGGTCTGACACTTAGTGTCAAAGATAATTATCAATATGTTAAAAACATAATTCTCATACAAATAGTGAACATGGGTCAGCATTTCATTTAGTTCATTAATAAGGAGACTAGCAGGATGACAAAGCCAGTTCAAAATAGAATGTAAACTGGAGTTTTTGTAGTCAATGAAAAGGAAAAACATTGAAATGAGATTGCTAAATTACATACAAAGTGGATTAATGTCCTAGAGGGTAATAAAACCATAACCTTTGTGATTATTTTCTCTACCAGGCAGAAAAGAAAATTGTCGTAACTCAATACTCTGCAGAATTGTAAAATGTCTGGGCTCTAATCAATTGTGTAAATTTCTCTTCAGAGGTAGATGACTCTTGCTCATCAATGCTTTATTATGACATCAAAAAGTCACACAATCATCTTTTTACTTTAGTAACATGTTTTGGACAGTTTTCCTTAACGTTAGTAAGTTTAATTTAATAGATACAAACTGTTATTATTATAAAGTTCTCAATAAATGTTTGCTGAAAGGATTTTCATTCTATTAGACTTCTTCGTTCTCTCTCGCAGCAGAGTTTGGGGCCTACAAAGCAAGTAGGCTGAGGGGGAACCCTGCAGGACACCTATGCTCTGCCCTCCCTCAGCCTGGGGAGGTGTCAGGTTAACTCTACATCATCAAATAGGCAGAGAAAGTATCTGCTTTGGGCATCAGCAAAGCAGGTACCATTCTCCCCACAATAAGCACACATATTCTTTGGAAGAACTGGATATTTCCAAAAAATACAGTGAAGTAGACACCATGGAAAAAATCAGAAATTTGTGGGACCACTGTCCATTTTTTTTATTTTTAATTTTAAAAAATTGTGGTAAAATACATATAACGTAAAATTTACAAAGTTAACCATTTTGAGTACAATTTAGTGATGTTAACTATAGCCACGTTGTTGTGTGACAATGACCACGATACATCTCCAGAACTCTTCATCTTGCAATACTGAAACTCTGTACCTATTAAACAATAACCCATCCCCCATCCGTCACCCCTGGCAACTACCCTTCTACTTTCTGTCTCTATGAATTTTACTGCTCTAGCTATCTCATATAAGTGGTATCATACAATATTTGTTCTTTTGTGACTGGCTTATTTTATTAGCATAAGATCCTCAAGTTTCATCTACATTGCAGCATGTGTCAAAATTTCCTGCCTTTTCAAGGCTGAATAATATTCCACTATTTATTCATATCATATTTTGTTTATCTATTTGTCCACTGGTGGACACTTGCATTGCTTCCACCTTTTGGATATTGCCTCCATTTATTTTATAGTATAGGATTATTTTTGTTTTGAATTGCACATGAGGGATGGGCACCATTTTCAGGGCTTGAGCTCTTAGAGATTTTAATCTGGCTCAGGAACCTGGGACCGACCAGGCTATAAGACCATCTGTGGTCACTTCTTGATTCCATACTTTTGCCTAAGTACACCCAGGATGGTTAGGTTTCACTGTGCAGACTTAGCTCCAGGTTCACATTCATTTGGAATAGGAGCGTGATAAAATGTGTTCTGGAGCTGTGACCAAGTAATCATTGCTCTAAATGTTTGCACATGCTGTGGAGAGGGGAAATCCAAGCATTTCTGCAAAGCAACAGATGGGAAATTTCCCAGGAATAAACTTATATCTTGGCAGTCTAAAAGTATGCAGCATGCACGCTCTGCTCTGGGAGTTGGGAGAATCCACTTGAACCACATGATCTCCAGATGCTAGAAAAGGAATTCCCAGCTACTTCTGTGCTCAAAGTGTCAAGAGGACTTGGTCAAAGGAGAACTAAGATGCCTTGGGTTCCAGCTTCAGGGAATTGAATGTTTTACTCTGACTTTCCAGAAAAAAGGAAGAGAATGTTGAATGTAGAGTCACATGAAGTTAAAGCTAGTGAACACTGCAGAAGTCAGATTTCCATTTTTTTATTCTGTATTGGATTTCATTTATAAGATTGTCACTAGTTTCATTAACGCAGTAAAGTATAGACTATCGGAGTCCAAATCTTGTCTCTATCAACATGTGAGATGTTGGTTGTTACTAAACTTCTCTTCGGTTTTTAAAATTTGTGCTTTGACTTTTTAAATCTGTAAAATGTGTGATAATGATTAATGGTGTCGATTGATGTAAAATACTAAGAACAGTGTCTGGAATAGTAAATGCTATATAAATACTTGCTGTTATTGATACATTTTGGCCATTTTCTTATTAGCTGTTATTATTTTTCAGTTGGCAAATAATTAGATTTCATTTGGAGTGTTGTCCCACCATTTTATTCTGCTTCATGATTGTTTCTAGGGGAAATTTTTTGCAGTTAATGTACACTGAATTCGGTTTTTGCAATAACTCTGTATGAATCTGTTAGTATTTTCCTTGCGCTGAGAGGTAGTCTCATTCTCTCATTTTCCAGATGTGGAAACTGAATCCCCAAAAGGGAAAGTGACTTGCCTAAGATTACGCAAAGACAGGCTTAACCAATAGTAGAACCCAGGGCTTCTGACCACTAGTTTAAGTCTTGTTCCACTCGGCATGGAGTCCAAGAATATTGAACTTGGGTATTGATACAATCTATGCATCCTCTGAACTCCACTGACCCACAGGAAGACTTGGAACACTCTTTGATTTACATGTTCACCAATAAATGTCTTTTATTTCTATCCAAATTGCAAGCACTTCAAGGGAAAGGGCTGTGGCTTGATTACTTTGGAATCTTTGTTGTGTGCCTAACACCATGCTTCCAATTCTTGAGGGAAAGAATTATTGCCCATAACACCTTGGATTGCTGGGGGCGGAAGCCCAGTAAATAGAACTAATAAATACTCCCTCTCATTTTTTTTTAAAAAAAAAAAGAGGAATAAAGGGGCAAAGAAGAGAATATTTATCAAGAACTTAATATGTCCCAACCACAGTGCTGAGAATTTTGATCACTGTCCCATTTAATCCTCAGAAATCCTTTATGGCATTGTCAATTTCCACATCTCAGATCAGGAAATTAAGGTTCACAAAGGTTAGGAAATTGACGTTGAGTCTCTTCATAAGTAAATGTTCAAGTCTGACACTTCTCTGGTGTACTATGACCTTCTAGAATCCAATAACAAACACAGAGTGAGAGGTGAAGCTGGAAAGGAAGAGTCCTAATGCTTTCTACAGGGTAAAACAATTTTTTTTATTCTCATGAGAAAACTATGAAATCAACTACATAAATTGTGAAAATATGAGTCGTGGTTGTATTTGTTCTGTGACAGTTTGGAAAGTGTATATTTTCATCAAGCTAGAAAAAGAAAACAAGGAAAAATTATGAATTTTTCAATCTTGCACATAAAAAGAGATCTGTCATTAATTACTAATCAATCTGGCTCCACACTCCCTGCAAACATGTTATCCATATTAGAGTTTTAAATGAGAGACAAAAAGTTAAGCTACAGGTCTTACATGGAGAAAGATGATTAGGCCTGGGTAAGTTTCATAACAGGAAAAGGCCCAGAGCTGGAAAGAGAGTACGTGTGCTAGGTTGAAAAATGGCCCCCTAAAAATCATTAGGTCCTAATTCCTAGAATCTGTAAATGTTACTCTATTTGGAAACAGGTTTTCCCAATGTGATTAAGGGTCTTGAAATGGGAGATTATCCTGTATTATCCAGGTAGACTCTAAAAGCAAACACAAGTGTCCTTATAAAAGAGAGGCAGAGGGAGAATGTGACATATACCCAGAGAGGAAGAGGTGATGTGAAGATGGAGGTAGAGATTGGAGAGATACAGCTACAGACCAAGCAATGCCAGCAATATTCTCTTCTCTAGGAGAAGCTGGAGAGGCAAGGAACAGATTCACCCCTAGAGCCTCCAGGAGTGTGGCCCTGCCAACATCTTGAATTTGGCCCAGTGAAACTGATTTTTGACCTCTGGCCTCCAAAACTGTAAGAAAATAAATTTTCTTACAGTTTCTGTTGCTTTAAGCCACCAAGTTTGTGGTAATTTGTTACAACACTCACAGGAAACTAATACAGTGCCTCTGTCTTGTTAGCCAGGTCTCAGTTGACTGTCATCTCCTTCCTATCCATCTGGCACCTTCAAACAGAGTTTCCAAAAACATCCTAATACTTTTTGAGTGTCTTCTCTGCCAGGCACTATGACAAGCACTTTACCTGCAATAGCTCGCTGAATGCTCATAATTTTAATAGGTAGATACTAGTATTATTCCTATTTTACAAATGCATAAAATGAGGCTCATAGGAAAAATTGGTGGGGCTACACCTTAATAGGTGATGGAGGTAATATTCAAATTCAGGTCTGCCCAAATCTAAAGCACACATTTTTAACCTCTATACTGTACTACCTCAAGCTCTCTGGGTTAAGTCAGGGTTTTAATTCTCATATCAACAGATGGCATTTTGGGATATTTATCTGAAGGGTATTTTCAAGGATGCTGGACCAAAGGAGACCATATTTACCTGCATTCCAACTCAAGGAACTGAGCTGCCACTTCCATCTCCCTTTTTTTTTTTTTTTTTTCTGCTAAAGAGAAGAGGGTGGCCAATCCTAGCATGTAGAATGCTCAGGTTAAAGTATCTCAGAGATCCATTTGTTCAAACTCCTCATTTTATAGATGAGGAAGTTGGGTCCAGAGAAGGAGAGGGGCATTTCAGGGTCACATATAGAAGATTTAAGTGAAATCAAAGTCCAGGCCTCACTTCAAATTTAGGGTTGATTTTACTACACATCACACTGCCCAAAGTCATGGGTGTTGCTATGATCTAAAGTGGTGACCAAATTCTGAGAACTTGCTAGAAGGAAAATGAAAAAATGTTTTCCAAAGCTTCTCAAAACTATAGTGCTCCAGGGTCTTCATTCTCACCTGGTATACCCTACAGGGGTACAGCCACTGAGATGGTCCAGGGGATTGGGAGGAGGAAGCTTCTTCATTGGTATGGAGGCTGAGGAGATCACAACGATGTAACCACATCCTAAATGGGAGAAGAGGAAAGTCAAGAATTCACGAATTTCTAGAACTGAAGGATTTCTAGAAATCTCTTGAGTGGAAGCTTTGGAGAAATAAATGGAAGTAAATTGTACCTTTCACAATCAGCAGGGAACTGATTTGGGAAACTCAGTATGCCTAATAATGGTAAACGCTGAACATTCCTCATCCATCTTCATACATGTCCACTCAACAAATATTGAGTCCCTCTTGGTCTCTGACTTCATGCTAATATGGTGGTTTAAAAAAATGATAATGTATTTAAAGTGCTCCATATAGTCAATACACAATAATTGCTTAATAAATAATGTTACTAAAACATTAATTATAGTAGCTGTAATAGCCACTGTCTTTAAGACACGTGGACCTTGCTTCAGACTATATATCCCAAATTGCTCTTTGCCTGGGTTCCGCCACCAGTTGCATTCTGGGGCTTGTAGTCCGGATGTGAGTAACTGATTCATCAGCGCGCAGGCGCAGTGCCGCGGATTCCCGGAAGAACGCCAGAGGCTCCTAGGATGAGTGGGTAGTTAGTGGTGGCTGCTGCGGCGGCGGCGGTACTGACAGGACACGAGCTCTATGCCTTTCCGGCTGCTGGTCCCGCTCGGCCTTCTGTGCTCGCTGCTGCCCCTGCACCATGGTGCGCCGGGCCCCGACGGCACCGCGCCCGACCCCGCCCACTACAGGTGAATGGGGACAAACTCCCTGCCCTTCCATAGTGGGGAGTGGAAAGCGCAAACCCGGTTCCTTCCCTTTCCCTGCACCCCAGAACCCCCACCCTCACTTGTTCGAACTCCTCCGCTGGGCTCCCGGCAGAATCAGGGATCCCATTTTCCGCCCTATTTCTTGTCCTTTCCCCTGCGTGGTTTCATTTTCTGGCCCCCTGCCTTATTTCTCGCATCAGGGAGCGAGTCAAGGCCATGTTCTACCACGCCTACGACAGCTACCTGGAGAATGCCTTT